TAAGCAATCCTGAAAAATATTTGGGGGTGCTTAACTTTTTTCCAGGTGTATATATATAAATAAGTATGAATTTACATTACATTGTCACACTTTGCACAGAAGTTATCTGAAGTATAGGAGAGCCTAGATACTTATCTGTTTGCCTATTGTTAGAAATAATACATGCTAATTCAGACTTTTACAGTTAATTATATTTCCCTTTCTTTTTTGGCTTATTTCTTAGACTTTCAGAAGAAGACTGGACATGTTTCATATTTAGGGTTCATTTCAAACCTTATTACTAGTAGTTTCACAGTATTTCAAATGTAACTACTAATCATCAATAAGTTATGTATTAAAACTCATTGTTAATGCCAACAATATATGTACATATATCTTTTTAGTACTTTAATCATGCAATCAAACAGAACACTCACCTGTAGCATATCAACCAACCCCTGAACACAGCCAGGATCTCTTCCATATTCATCTACCAGGATACTTCCCAGATACAAAAAGCAAGAATGTGGATGTTCCTGATAAATACGAACTATCTGAAAGCAAACACATAGAACTTCTTTTACATTTTGAATAACCACTGTGATTGGAAGATCTTCTGAAGCCAGTTAAATCATTTTAAACACCTCTTTACTGTTATTTCAAACTATTTAATAAGAAATTACATTTCCTTGTAATAACAAAATTTAGCTTTTAAAGTACTTTAATAAATCTATTTAGTTAATTCATCTTGAACAATTTCAGAGACTACCACTGATTCAACAAAGGCTATTCAGTAGCTGCTTCTACTAGAACTTTAAATAACAACTCTTGTACTTATTAACAAAGAGTTTACAGAAATTGTTTCACCTGGCTTGACAATTTATTTATGTTTTAGAAGTCTTGCTACTTGGCTTACAAAAGCATTAAACTATAGACAGACTGTCAGCAAATCATGCTCGTTTCTGTTTTGATGAAAAGTATTTAGTATTATTTTTAGAGTTCACTTTACAGAATGATAATTTAAATAACTTTCAATGGTAATTTTACATATAGCAGCTTTCACTATGAGGTTGGTGACACTTATATGCAGCTTTTAACTCGGCATACTACAAGAAAACACACTATGTATATGAAAACATGCAGAACAAAATTTGTATGTATAGTAAACTACTATATTAATATAAAGAGACATTTATGACACAACAGTTATAACAGCATTTTATTAGTCTGCAATACTTATCCTAGAAAGTATCATGTAATGACAGTTGTATCATTTTATATATGATCAGTGAAATGATAACCTCATCTCCAAGTAACTGCTTACCTTATGAAAAAACATAGTATAATTACTCTCATGGATACTTTCATGGTTAATAGAAGGGTTAAATTATACTTCACTGAAAGATACAGAAATATTCTTATATGACAATCACACAAGTTTAGCAACTGTTTAGCATAAGCAATTAAATATAAGATTTCTTTACACCAAATGCACACACCATCCACAAAATACACAGCTGTTTTATATTTACTTTGATACCTGGTAAGAAAATACAATGAAATAAAGTGAAAATTCAATATCAAAATCCTATGTTTAAATAGCTTTAATCCAATCAGGTCAAAGAATTCAAGTTACCTTGTATGCGAAATATTTTGAAAAAAAAGTCCTTCTATTTTAAAAAGCTGTTTGCTAAGTTAATGAAATAATATTATGTGTGTGAAATTTTATGAGCATTGATTATTAAAAAGTCTGCAGATAATTTATTACTCTTAGATACCAAAAAAGAGATGAAGGGTTAAAAATAATATAAGTTCATGAATCATATTTCTCAATGTTTTAATTAGTACTAATACCTGTTCTACAATTTCTATTAACAGTAAATTTCCATAGCCATAATTTTCTTTTTTAATAAATTACAATTTAAGGGCATATTCTGATTCAGCAGCTTTTACAATTTGTTTTATGTAGCCATCTATTAAATGATATTATTAAAGACAAATAGTTTTCCTGTTACAGTCCATCTTTAAATAGTATCTATTTCTACTTCAATGTTAAAACCTGGATTTCTGATGCAACAACACTAACCTATTACATTACCACACAATGTATGTATTCATGACTTGAAACACTTGACATCACTATGTATCAGTGCCTCCAATTTTAAGTATTAAATACCAGCAAAATTATTAGTTGTTTGCATACTATAACTCAAAGCACCAGCATATTTAGCACTATATTTTACAGAATCACACATACCTGAGTGACAAGTGGTTCTACTAGTATGGCAAAATATCTTCCAACACATCGAATTAAAAACCTAATACAGCGACAACATCTCTCAATGATTCTAATATCAGCCTTGTAGTATTCACAGACCTGTGACATTACAGGCCACACTTCCTTCACAACAACTAGACAGGGATGTGTATTGTTACCCTTTACACAGATATTAACGTGCCTGTTGAAATAAGGATTATTAACATACTAAGATCAATGCAGACTGATAACAAACATTTACACGTATAGCTCAAAAACACTCGGGTTGATTGAACTTGTTCACCTTCTACCAAACAAGATGTCACAATACTGTTGTACAAAAGAATACAAAGATCAATCCAACAAAATAAGAAAGCTTGAAACTTGATTGTTTAGCTATCATATTTATTCCATAACTTTGATACTGAATTGAGTTGAAAGCATTATGAAGGAAGACATTAGAGTTTAAGAATTTCCTGAATACTACTTGGAGCATAATATGGCACCTGTATCCCTCGAGGGTACTAAGTAGCACTAACTTAAACCTTGTAACTTAAATGTAAGTGTAATAATGGCTGGAGACGGCTTGAATGGGTAATGAAGAAAAACTTTAATATAACAGCAAATGTACAACGTTTCGACAAGGTTTTGTCATCATCAGGTACAAGTAGTTTACACTGACACGGATATATATATATATACAGTATTGAACAAAGACGTCACATGACCGGAACTGTTGTGAAACTTAGAAGAGGTATCTAGGCACCCTGGGGTGTTGG